AAACACTAATAAAATAATGTGACTAAGGCACATAACAAAATTACTCAAATTTAAAAATGCAAATAAAAACTGAAAAAGCTCATTCAAAATATTAATAAATACTATAATAGTATATAAATAATACATAAATAGCACTGCTATGATCTTCTCTCTCTCTAGGTGGACACACATTTCATGAAGAAGATCCCCACTGGAGCAGAAGCTTCCAATGTGCTGGTTGGGGAGCTGGACTTTCTAGAAAGGTCCATCGTTGCATTTGTTCGCCTGTCTCCTGCTGTACTGCTCACGGGGCTCACTGAAGTTCCCATTCCCACTAGGTAAGTGTTTGTTTGTCAATCCATATGGAGCTGATAAATTCACTGTAACAGAATGATCAAAATAAATTTTTACTCTGCAGATTCTTGTTCATTTTGCTTGGTCCTGATGGAAAAGCCCAACAGTACCATGAGATCGGTCGCTCCATGGCCACCATCATGACCGATGAGGTCAATGCATATTATCTCATTGGATATTAATGCATTAACCTTTATATTTACATTTGCAGCTCTTTCTATTTTCAGAAATACCTTTTGTAGAATAAATTAAACAAAAAAAATTTTTAATCAAATTTCTTTCTTTAATATATGTTCATATCTTTATTTTATTTAATATAATTTTATTCTTCCATTATTTAGATTTTCCACGATGTTGCATATAAGGCCAAGGACAGAAGTGATTTGTTGGCCGGTATAGATGAGTTTCTGGATCAAGTGACAGTTTTGCCTCCAGGGGAATGGGACCCTTCTATACGCATAGAACCTCCTAAAAGTGTCCCATCACAGGTATGGGAAAAACCAACAAGTGTGACTGAAGTGATTGATTTGTTGTAATTTATCTATTCCTCTCTCGGAATAGGAGAAAAGAAAGATGCCAGGAGTGCCGAACGGAACAGCTGTTCCTGTTGAGGAAGAGCTGCATGGAGAACACCATGGACCAGAGCTGCAGAGAACAGGAAGGTGTGTGGTCAAGTTTTAACAACATTGTGCAAGGCCAAATATCCTCAATAGGATATTAAAACCTGAAATCATCTTCTTTGCGAGGAGCCAAAAACAGTCCTCATGAGGAAAATAGCCTAGTAAACATACTGAATAATGTCTTCAATTTGACAGGTTAGAGGTTTAGGGGATAGAAATGTTATTAGCTCAGTATGAAAACATTTTAAATCAATGAAAATTTAGCTCTCTCTATGTCTCTTCACTCTCTCTATAGGCTGTTTGGAGGACTGATTCTGGATGTGAAAAGAAAAGTTCCATTTTATTTGAGTGATTTTAAAGACGGTCTGAATTTGCAGTGTGTAGCTTCTTTTCTGTTTCTGTACTGTGCCTGTATGTCACCTGTTATCACGTTTGGAGGACTTCTGGGAGAGGCTACAGAAGGACGCATTGTAAGTACGCAAACACACACAGTTTTGTTTCTGTGTGGTCTATTAGGCAAAGTCACATAAAAATATGTTTGTAATGCAAAACACAGCAGTCATGTGTATTTATGTGTGTGTCAGAGTGCCATTGAGTCTCTTTTAGGAGCGTCTATGACTGGAGTAGCATACTCTCTGTTCGCTGGACAGCCGCTTACTATACTGGGCAGCACTGGACCTGTCCTCGTGTTTGAAAAGATTCTCTTCAAGTTCTGCAAGTCAGTACAGACCAGACCAAGTATTAATCTTAATATATTTAATCATTAACTAATCATTCACTTTCTCACCCAAAATAAATTGTCGTTGGTTATGTACTGTATATGATACATTTGATACATAACAATTATTTAATTGTATACCAAGTATTATTATGATTATTATTTATTAAAATATTTTTAAAAATCTAGCAAATAAATCTAGCATTCTCTAAATCTAGTAAGCAGTCTTACTTCTTATATTGTGCAATAAATCTGCAAAATATTTCATATATAATCAGATCTTAACTCACTATATTGTCTCTCTCCTGTCCATTTCTGTCCCTGTAGAGACTACGATCTCTCGTACCTATCCCTGCGCACTTGTATTGGTCTGTGGACTGCTTTCCTGTGTCTGATTCTTGTGGCAACGGATGCCAGCTCCTTGGTCTGTTACATTACACGTTTCACAGAGGAAGCGTTTGCTGCACTGATATGTCTTATCTTCATTTACGAAGCACTAGAGAAACTTTTCCATCTTGGAGAACTGTACCCAATCAACAGACATGCCGATCTAGACAAACTAACACTGGCCTAGTAAGTATAAACTCACATACACATATGCCTATGCACCTGCTGATTAAGTTGGAAGTCAGTAAACAATAATCTTCATCAGTTGTTTCTCCTAGACATAAATTAGATCAAATGAAGAGCAAAGGCCTTTTCTGAATAATTGTTTTCCGAAACAAATTTTAACACATTGTATTGTGTGCCATCAGCTGTTGGTGTGCAGAGCCTGATAACCCCAGTAATAAAACACTAGAACTGTGGAATCAGAGGAACATCACAGCCTCTGCAGTGCCATGGAGCAACTTCACTGTATCGGTACTTCAGCCTCCCACAATCTTAGCAAACCACTGGAAACGGAAACATTCTTACATGGTCTAACCTTAAATGTGCACTTAAAGGCACAATATGTAATTTTCGCTGCTAGAGGGCGCGTATTCAAAATAAACAAATAGACCAAGGTGACAAACAAATGACGCCAGTGACTGAGCGTGGAATCATGGGAGTTGTAGTCTTCATCCCCACAGCCGATGCAATCCGATGGGACTCGGGCAGAAATCATGTTCATGGATGAGCTAATGATTTATTAATGTAGTAGAATGAAGCAGGGTGAGACTGAAAGCCATCGAAGCGAAATGAGGCCGCTGAACAAGACACATGGCTCGAAAGGAGCAGAGCTTTTATTATGCCACAGTCGACCGCTTCCGCTCCTTCCGGTCGTGTTTATGTGGGGGGGCTGCGCTGTTTTATCATACTAGATACATTTGAAAGTTCTGTTATTATGCTACTCTGTGCGGTCGGCACCTGTCTAATAAAACACACAACATATTAAAGCGTCTTTGGTGTTTCCATGTTTTCTACAAAACAAAACCGGAAATCGAGGGGTTATGACGTCATTGGCAGGCGACAAAATGACACTATGGACACGGTTCGTGTCACTAGTTAAAATCTTACATATTGTGCCTTTAAAGCAATTCTTTGTTTAGCTGGCTGATACAACAGTGGTCATAAACTGTATACTGACACCTACTGGTGTGGATGTATCACCCCACAAAAGCAAAAGTTGTTTGGTTACTGATGCCATTGTGGAAATACCCTCTTCATGGGCACATTTGTTACCTATTATTAATTTATTACGAAAGTGGAGATGTAGCCAAGATAAATTAAGTCATGTGATTTCAACATTCTGGTCAGTGTGATAAAACACCCCACTGATATGACTACAGTCTTAATCTCATGTGAGTGTAGATGATTTTGAATATACCCTTTATATATCAAAAATAGTATTAATTTCTTTCGGTGTAAGTCTTACTGGGAAAATACTCCTCTAAATGTGATTTATCTCAGTTTTAACTTCTCAACAACTTCACAGCTTCATAAACACCAGTTTGTGAAAAGACTGGTGTAAAGCAGTGAAAAGAACATCTTATGACAAACACTGTACAGTTGAAGTCCTGTTTTTCAATTCTGGTCCCATTACTGCAGTGCTGTGTTTTTCACAGTGTAGTCTCACACAGATCGCATTTAGTGCTAATCCTATTTTCACAGCTGAGTCAGCGTCTCGGTAGCCAGTGCAGTTAAACATGAGCCAAACTCTGTGTGTGGGTGTGTGTGTGTGTGTGTGTGTGTGTGTGTGTGTGTGTGTGTGTTGTGAATAGGAGTGTTTAGATCTCCAGGGGCAGTTTATTGGATCGGCGTGTGGACACCATGGTCCCTACACTCCTGATGTGCTCTTCTGGTCGTCCATCTTGTTTTTTAGTACCTTTTTCCTGTCTACCTTCCTGAAACAGTTCAAGACTAGCAGATACTTCCCAACACGGGTGAGGCTAAAATACACATTCACAAACACAGTTTGCATACACAGTCATTTTCTATACAATAAATGCAAAGTGTGTATTTGTGTGTTTCTGTCATGTAGGTAAGGTCAATGATCAGTGATTTTGCTGTGTTCCTCACCATTGTTCTCATGGTCCTGATTGATTATTTAATTGGAGTTCCATCCCAAAAATTACAAGTGCCCAGCAACTTCAAGGTAGGAATCATAAACGAATGCGCATACAAACGCACACACTTGTGTTTTTGTTTTTAACTCTGTATGCATCATATTTGATCAATTGCTTTCTAAAGTCTTAAATCTTGAATGTGATCAATACACATTGATCAAAAAAATAAATAAAAGAAAAAGAAAATAGTGGTATCCCTTGTAGTAAAGTATATTTCTAAGTAGAAGGATTTTTCATATAATTTCCAACATGTTGACCTTTGTGTTATGATCAACATGCGTTTTTGCCTCTGTGCTGATGGCGAAGTATTTGCAAGAATAATTTGATATTATTATTATTATTAATATTTCAGAATTAATATTTAATGGATCTAAGCAATGTGTGCATAATATTTCATGGATCATTTTATATTTGAGGTATATTTAGTTCATTCATAACTGAAATGCATTTCATGATATATTATTACAAGCCAAAGTCATTAAATTATATAATCATTAAACTAAATTAAATGTTATTTTGCTAGTATATATCCAGAGTAAGAACTGACATTTACTTGTATTTACTTGTATTTTTTATATATGAAATATTCTAATATATTTGCAAACTCTTAACATGGTAAAATATACAATTTTACAAATAAACCAAAATACATGCAAAATCCAATCAAATCATATTTCTTTCAAAAAAGAGACATCTGTGTAGGTCAGTACTTTCCTAAATGCCTTGAACTTTCCAGTTCTTCCTAACAGCTCTGCTTGTGAATCATGTTCTTTCTAAGCTTACCTTACAGTGATGAATCCACTGCTTCAATCTTCAACGTTTTTTAGTGCCCACTCATAATCCAAAACAGTCCTGTATTTGTGCAATTAGTTCGTGTCTTGTTTCTAGGCACGTTTTCTCAAATGATAAGGCTAGAGTGGCACCCCTGCAGTGACAGATTAGATGATTAGACAATGCTGAGTCTTGGAATTGAGTTTATACCCCAGGCTAATCTGAATACACCCATTGTGCGCAGACAGTGATCTATGAACAATTGAGCTGGAATAATATTTAATCTATAGTTAACAAGTATGCCTCAATTTAGAATGAATTGTCATGAACATTGCATAATTTATATTCATGTAGGGAAATACACACATCTTAACTTACATAAGCATAATGAATCACAATAAAGTGTACACTAAAAATATTTGATTAATTTATCAAAAATCTACACTATTGTTCAATAGCTATTAATACTTTTATTGAGCAGTGGCACACTAAATTGATGAAAAGTGACACTAAAAACTTTTTGTATTTCAGATAAATGCTGTTCCTATGAACTTTCTGTTTTTAGAGAAAATTAAATTGAAAATGTATTACAGTTTCCACAAAAATTGTTGATAATAATAAGAAATGTTTCTTGAGCAGCAAATGAGCACATTAGAATGATCTCTGAAGAATCGTGTGACACTGAGGACTGGAGTAATGTCTGCTGAATATTCAGCTCTGCCATCACAGGAATAAATTATATTTTAATATATACTGTATATTAGAATAGTAGTTTTGAATTGCAATAATATTTCACAATATTACTATTTTTACTGTATTTTTGATCAAATAAATGCAGCCTTGGTGAGCATAAGAGACTTCTTTTAAAAACTTAAAAAAATCTTATTGACACCAAACTTTTGAATGCAGTTTTATTTAAGTAAAACATACAGTATATATAGAATTCTGATTCATAGTGAAGCTTTTAACATTTGCCTCACATTTCCAGGGGTTTGAACTTTCTCCTGGTTGTGTTTTACAGCCCACGCGTGATGACCGTGGTTGGTTTATTAACCCTATCGGCCGAAACCCATGGTGGACTGTGCTGGCTGCCTTAATACCAGCTCTTCTCTGCACCATCCTCATCTTCATGGACCAACAGATCACCGCCGTCATAATAAACCGCAAGGAACACAAACTGCTAGTATGTTTATTTTCTAAATTGGCCTTTACAGAGGATGTGTGTGTGTGTGCGCTGATCATATGTATGTGTGTGCCCTATTTCCTCTACACAGAAAGGCGGCGGGTACCATTTGGATCTTCTGATGGTTGGAGTGATGCTGGCTGTATGTTCCATCATGGGGTTACCCTGGTTTGTTGCAGCAACCGTCCTGTCAATTACCCATGTCAACAGCCTGAAGCTAGAGTCTGAAAGCGCTGCCCCCGGAGAGCAGCCTCGATTTCTGGGTATTAGAGAACAGAGGCTGACTGGTTTGTTCATTTTTCTCCTCATGGGCTGCTCTGTGTTCATGACTGGAGCATTACAGGTACTTACAAAAATTATGTGGTTGTCATATAATATGTACAGGGGCCTTCTTAAAGAGATTAAAATTCTATCATTTACTGCCCCTCATATCATTACAAACTTGTATGACTTACGTTCTTCTTCAGAACACAAAAGAAGATATTTTGAAGAATGTTGGTAACCGAACAATTTCAGGTCCCATTGACTTTCATAGTATTTTTTGCCTATAATAAGGAAGTCAATGGGACCCAAAACTGTTTGCTTACTAACGTTACTAACATTCTTCAAAACATCTTCTTTTGTGTTCTTCCCTTTAAATTAGGCACACTTAAAATATATATAAATGTCACTGCATTAGATAACAAAATGTCTTAATGGACTGATTTTTGTTTCACAGTTCATTCCCATGCCAGTTCTCTATGGTGTTTTTCTTTATATGGGCGTTTCATCTCTGAAAGGCATTCAGGTAGAGATATTCATCTGATACTAACAATACATGTGCATACCGACATGTCAAGTCATTCATCAACTTCTCTGTCCTGTCTTTCTCAGTTTTTTGACCGCCTGAAGTTGTTTGGCATGCCAGCGAAGCACCAACCAGACTTTATTTATCTACGTCATGTTCCTCTGAGGAAGGTTCACCTGTTCACTCTGACCCAACTTACCTGCCTTGTGTTGCTCTGGGTCACCAAAACTTCCCCTGCTGCAATCGTCTTCCCTATGATGGTACGACCTAAAACAAAGAACATACTTTATGTTAGGGGTGTTAAAACTATATATTTTTTAAATATACCTATACTAGACTAGTATTATACAGTATCAGTCTGACTGAGTAATAAATAGGCTTCTTTCAAAGGCTAACATTCATTTGAAATGCATATTATTTCAATAAAATATGTGTGAATTTTTTTTCATTGATAATCAAAGCGAATTTTATTGGTACAGCCTCCATTTTTTTGCACATTGCTTGTGAACACAGGTTCTGAAAAATTGTGAGATTTACATTTATACATTTGGCAGAAAACTTTGTCCAAAAAGTTTAAGGGGTACAGTACATTTTATCAGTTCATGCAATCCCTGGGAGTAAAACCCATGAAAACCCTGTAGCTAGTGCTGTGCTCTACTGTACAGTGATGAAGGTTGATTTAAGAGCCATTGTAATCATATAGTAATAGTATATTAGTAGCAAAAGTGTTTATCTCCTGTAGGTGCTGGCATTAGTGTTCATCCGTAAGCTGCTGGACTTCTGTTTTTCCAAACGGGAGCTTAGCTACCTTGATGATCTGATGCCTGAGAATAAGAAGAAGAAGCTGGATGATGATTCCAAAAAGGCAGATGAGGTTTGTGATCCATACGCAGAGTTTAATTAAGCAAAAAGGTCATACAGCAAACACAGCAGTATGTATAATGTGCTTAATTTGTACATTTTGCTATATGGGCAGAAAACTTGTGCTAGATTTGCCAAAATTATTCAGTATTGTATCCCACCATGCAATGTGCTCAACCTAACATTACATTTCATGCATAACAAATGAACCAAAAGTAGTTTTAGCCATATTTTTTTCCTTCTTGAGGAAAAAAAGCTTCATTTTTTAAATAAATTTTTACACCAATTTGGATTAACAATGCAACATAATATGAAAAAATCATTTGATGATGTTTTTATTTTATTATTTTTTATTATTATTTATTTAATGTATTTTATTTCCTTTTCTGGATGGCCACAAACAACTAAAACTGCAACTAAATGAAGTCATGTGACAACAGTGTATTGCACTACTATTTAAAATGTTTATTTTCACATACAAATACTATTTTTTCATTAGCAGTAAACATTGTAGTAAGATGTTAGTTTCCACCCTGAACAACCTTAACCCAATCTTGCCGTCAAATCATGCTATTTATGCATGTAAACTGAATTTAATACATCAACCTTAACTTGCATTGATTTTTGGTCACATGTAATACATAAACAATGAAGGAGGGAGTATGTATGTGTTTATATGAGTAGCAGGAATCACAGGAGATGCTGGTTGATGACTCTGAGAAATTAGAAGACAAAAACACTGTGAAGATCCCCATGGAGAGCAAACCTCTACACTCACCTCGAACCCCAGACCCCAGGTACCACTCTGCTGCAGACCTCCACATCAGAAGCTCTATGATGTAATGCAAACCCTAGAGCCCTGTCCAATGGTGTTCAAAATAAGCTTAGACACCACAGTGTCCACTGTGTATCTGATAATGTGTACTTACTAACACTCACCTTTCCATTTCTCCCCTTCTCCTGCCTTCACCCCTCCTCTCCTCGACTGTGTCCACCTGTTGTCCAGGACTGATCCCTCTGATATTAACATATCTGATGAAATGTCTAAAACTACTGTATGGAAATCCCTCAATTCCAATCACAAGGACACACAACGCTCAAACACAAATAAAAAGGCAAGGACTCTCGCTCTTTCCGTCCTTTAATGGTTGGTTATTGTTCCACTTCCCCGAATTCCCTTTCTTACCCACGTGTCTACTACTTTTCTTGATTGTAGATGGGTTTGTTTCTTCATCAGGACAGATTTTAAGAAATTTAGCAGCTGATAAAAACAGCTGATAAAAACATCACAAATAATACAAACAACTCCAGTTTGTGCAAGTCCATAATAATGCTTCCTCCAGTAAAAAAAAAAGTCCATTCCCTGTTGTCATCTCATATCAAAATTCACTGGCATATTTATTTAGGATTGTTTTGGACTATTTTCACTTGTAAGTAGTGCTTGTCTGAGCAGATTTCTCTCCTGATTCAGATGAGACTTTTTCACTGGATAAAACAATATTATGTATAAAGGATATTTTAGTCTGGAGCAACGGTTTACTGTTAAAAACATCTTACTGATGAATTTGTTCATTACAAACACACAAATTTATGCTTCACAAGATGTTAATTAAAGAACTGGCGTTTACTTGTGTGGATTGTGTGAAGTGTGGGCTACTTGTAGATTATTGTGATGTTTTTATCAGCTGTTTGGACTCTCATTCTGACGGCACCCATTCACTGCAACTGATCCATTGGTAAGAAAGTGAAGCAATGCTACATTTCTCCATATCTGTTCTAATGAAGAAACAAACTCATCTACATCTTAGATGGCCTGAGGGTGAGTAAGTTTTAAGCAAATTGTAATTTTTGGGTGAATTATTCCTTTAAGTTTTAATTATTATATTACAAACTGGGTTTTAACTGCTAAAAAGTTTTGAGTTTATCTTATTTATTATCTGTGTGTTTTTCTCTCTTCGCAGGAGGTTCTGTGAAGTAACCCCACAGAAAGAAGAAATTACGTTCTTAGCGTCGGTTGTTTGAAATTCAGCTGACTTAAGAAAGCAACCATGTGCTAAAAACACAGATATTAGTTCACTCCTTTCCACTGTTTCTCACACACATGCGTTCACACACGTGGGTTTATGTATAGCTGTGTGAGATATATTGGTGTGTCAGTGTGTGTGTGTGAATATGTGCAACATTTTCTCCTACCAAATCCAGGTTATTTTTAATGTTTAGTTGAGTTTTAGCAGACATGGGCGTCTCTGTGCTGTGCTGTGCTGTAGTGTACATGTATTTTTTTTTTTTTAATTTTGTTAATTGTCTGGTTCTCATTTATAGAATAATACAGTTGTTTAA